CTCTTGCCACAGCAGAGAGCGGTACTGCCCTCCCGGCATGGCCTACAATCAGGGCAGTTTCACAATGGAAGCCCCAAATCGCAGGCAGATGACTAAAAGTTCAGGGTCGGCTAATAATCTAGACGATTCACACGGCAGAAGGGCAAGATTGTAGGCAGAGATCAGTCCACCATCCAGATCGCGGGCCAAGCTGAATTTTGGGTGATCGACCTGCAACCAGGCTGTTCGTTCGCACGACTGACCTGCGACCTGCGCCGTTCCTTATGATGAGCAACAGTTCCTTTAGTGTCGTAGACTGTTGCCCATGCACTCATTCTACCGTGCCCTACAGTATCCATACACTGTTATTTAAAGCACAAGTTCATCCAGCTATCGGCCGCAAGCACCTGTCAGAACCCGAAAAGCGACGCAGGCCACCGATTTTTTTTATCAACGGTGTGCCGGTGCTGTCTTTTTTGTTGTAGGCGACGAGTTTCTTTTCAGCAAGGCCGGGGCCGTGTACTAGTGGTTTAATACGTGTTTAATATGCTAGATAGCATATATGAACATGTCACTCATTATGCTCCATCAGCACAGAGAACCACCGCAGCAAAAGAGACACAGAACAACTGTTCCTGGATGGAAGTCTAGGTTTCATGCTCAGACACAGTACTGAATCTTTTGCAGAGGTCAGCGGCTCCAAGTGGGACTACCCACTGTTCCAACTCCCATTACTTAAACCCCATCCGTGACTATCTTCATCATCAAGTCACTGTATTAAGACACCCCCACCGACCCTCAGTCTTTTGCGGAGTTCAGCAGTTCCAAGTGGGACTGCCCACCGTTCCATCTTCCATTACTTAACCCCATCCTTGACTATCTCCATCATTAAGTCACTGTATGAAGACACCCCCAGCCACCCTCCCCCCTGCCGCGTCGGGTCCCTCAGATTGGAGCACCACCCCTACTTGACATGCATCTTCGGAAGGCCATGAAGGTGAATTCATATCAGCCTCATGGTTAAGCCAGCGTACCATTGAAAAAGCATATCCAGATGTACTGTGGAATGAAGCCCAGATTGGAGCATCAATGAAAAGAAGGTTCCCTACTCTACATGCATCTTTGAAGACCATGAAGGTGAGTTCATATTAGACTCATGTTTAAGCTAGCATTCCATCGAAGAAGCATATCCAGATGTATTGTGGAATGAAGCCCAGAGGTTAGGTCAGAATACCAAGACGTACCTATGACTGTAGGACGGAGGCTGGACTCGTCATTTGCAGCAAGCCTGGCCACCCATCGTGCTCGCCTCTCTGCGGCCTTCTGCAATGCCTTTCGCTCCCTCTCGTCCTCATCCTCCTCCTCATCCTCTTCCTCATCATCTTCCTCTTCCTCCCCATCGTCACCTTCTTCCTCCCTGTCATCCTCCTTCTCATCTCTCTCTCTTTCTTTCCTATGCTCACTCCTGCCCTCATTCCCATTAGTGTCCTCCCCCTTCTGAACATCCCCAACCACACAGCCATTCTCTTCAGGACCCTTAGCACTATCATCAGGGTTCTGTTCTCGTCCTTCAGACTTCCCATTCAGGTCTCCGCATTCTCTGGCTAATCCTCTAGCCTCCCATTTCAATTCCTCGGGATCAACTTTCCATCCTCGGGGCTCTGCTTTCACCGTATTCAGCTCCACAGGTAGCTCTTCAGACACTTTTTGGAAATCTTCCTGCCCGACTTCCAACTTGTTGCACTCCACCTCCAATCCTTTCAACTCCCTTGATCCTTTTCCCTCCTCCCTTGATCCTTTTCCCTCCTCCCTTGATCCTTTTCCCTCAACCTGTGATTCGTCCATCATCGCATGCAGTTCTTTCGTCTCCATTTTACACTGCTTTATCACATCCTCTGCAACCTTTGAGTCAATTCTCGCCAGGCTCCCATCCTCCTCAGCTGCATTGCCTGCTACAACTCTTGCACAATATTCATACTCCTGGAGCCCTCTGGTACAGGTGTCCCCCTTCATGAGAACAGCATGATCTTCTGCCCATCGCCTAGTGTCATTTATCTTGCTTGTATTCCCCCCTGACTCAATCTGATATGATTCCTTACCCTTGCTTGCAATGCAATTTACTATGGCCCTCGCCCTTTCTTCAGATGGTTCCAGGCAAGCATTCACAATATAATGGTGCTCTCTCACGTCCTTCATATCAGCCAGTGCCCCAAATTCACCCCCTTTTCTGTTCTCTTCCGGTAACTCTGCTGCTAACACCTCCATGTCACATTCTACGACCTTTCCATGACCTCCCTCCACATCCTTGCAGCCAATTGTCCCATCTCCTCCCCCTAGTGGCTCTTTATCTCCCTCTGCACCAATGTCCTTGATGGCATCCTCATCCATTTTCTCGTTCCTACACGTGTTTCTCTCCACCCCAAATTCCTCCTCCTCATTCCCCCCCCTTCCCACATCTCCTGCCATTCGATCTGCATCCTCAGCTTCATCTTCTGCCACTTTTTCCACCTCCCTCGCCTCCTCTTCAGCCACCTCTTTGGCCTCATCCACTGCCAGATCATTCCCCTCCATGGCTTCTTCTACCATCGCCTCATCTACCACTCTTGCCTCATCTGCCATCACTTCCTCATCCAACTTCTTTGACCCATCCACCTCGGTTGACATTTCAAGCTCCCTTCTCCCATGCAGCTCAACATTCTCCTGTTCTCCCTTTAGTTCCCCATCTTCCTCGTGCCTCCCCTGCTCAACATGCTCCTCTTGACACCCCTCTTCCTCCTCACACCGCTTCCCTCTCCTATCCTTCTTGTCCTCCCTCCTCTTCTCCCTCCGTAATTCCTTTGAACGCCTTCCCCTGTCCTTCCTCGAAGACTCAACATCTCTCTTCTCTCCTCTGGAAACTGATTCTTTGCCATTATCATCACTCTCTCTATCATCTTCCTCTTCACTGCTGCTCTCAGAATCTGTTTTGTACCTTCTCCCCTTTGTTGTCACCCCCTTATCAGTCACTGGGGATCTCGTTCTTCTCCGATGTCTCACTTTGTTGCCACTTGACCGCCATCTTCTGCATGCAGTGAGCAACGAACATCAGAAATGCTATTCTTGCCCACACAGCACCGAGACTCACAAAACTTGACGAACACAGAAATCAGCTTTCCCTCTATTTTTTGCAGACAATGAACCACACTTTAGATGAGCTAATCCAACAATGAGACACTTATTGCAAGCAACATGGAGCAGAATAGTTCTTGCAGCTCGCTTTTTCGTCTGCCCCTCACGTACAAGGCTGGCCACTTATTGTGGTAGCTGCCAACATCCCCATGAGCCATAGCGGCCGCCCTTGACCCTGCCAGTAGTGCAGAAGGCTATCGTCTTCACCCGGAACGAACCTAAAGTCAGATCTTGATTTCTGCTCACTTTTTTTGCTTCAACGACAGCGAATGTAATTGAAAATGTGGCATGGATAGAATGTGTTGTTTTCCATTTGTCGGTGATGAGCAGCGGACTGATACCGCCCAGAGTAGAAGGAGCCCATGCGTTTGCTGGGGGAAGGCAGGTATACGTGAGGTTTTAAGGGGATTGAAAAGGTTTTAACTTCAAAAGGTGTGTGCTTACGTTTGATTTCTTACATTGTTTTTATCTTTCTTTTTGAACTAATGCATTGAGCCTCGCTGCTCGTCACCTCGAGCACACACACACACACATTGAGAGATCACACGAAAGCCACACTGGAGACCAAAAGGATACGAAGTCCGGAATAGTGCACCTTAGAAATTCCAACCAATTATCATATTAAACAGTTTCAGAGTTCCAGTCACCAGGCACTCAAGAGCACAGAGTTCAGCAACCCACATCCAGCATCCTCATCCAGATAGGTGACTCTCTCTCCTCTCTGTCCCTCTTCTCTCTCTCTGTCCCCATGCATGCGCTCAACCTCCCCCTCTCACTCTCTCAACTTGAAGATCTTGACTCTGAATACATCCGCTGCTACTCAGGTCTATCCACTACTACTGGCGGTGCGGCTATAGCCGCCTTCCCTCTCACAGCACAGTGCTGCCGCTCGTGGGCTCCGGCGCTAGCTACCCGCAGACAGCGCACAAGTGCCAGCATCACTTCCATACTTCTTGTGAATGAGCAATCTGTCCGAAATGTGGCTGGTCATTCCTTATATTAACTTGGACTGAGCCTGGACTCGTCCCAGCATCTGCTTCCTTTGGTTTGACTTGGACCCTGTACCACACGCCCACGGCCTGCTCGCTTCAGAATGTCGATGCCTGGTACCTCCCTGAATTTCCCTCGGTATGCTGCTGCTTGGGCCTGCGAGTCACGACTTTTTATCTATGGGACACGACTCTCTACCCGTGAGACATGACCTTTGCCTGTAGATTATGCATTTTGACGTTGAGATGTGACTCTCGCCTGTGGGACACGACTTTTGCCTGGGGAAGTGTCCTTTGCCTGTGGGATGTGACCTTTCACCGTGAGACATGACTTCTATGTTTGGAATGCAACCTTTGCCTCTGGGATGTGACTGTTGACTGGGTGCCTGTTGGACTTGACCTCTGGGGCACCCGACTCCCTTTCTGAAACTGGCTAACTCGGCCTCGTTTAGCCTGGGAACTTGACCCTGAGATTTGAATCTGGGTCTGCATCGTGGAATGTCTTTCACTAACACAACGGTACCTGTTGCGGCTTCGCTCGCAACGAAATGAGGGGAAAACGGGAGAAATGAGTCGGGGTGGGGGGATCGGGGGGTTCGGGGGTTGGGGTTAAGGGGGTGGGGGTCGGGGGTGTTTTGAGACTCACCTGTGTAGTGTTGTTGACTGTGTTGTTACACTGCTGCTCTCTCTCTCTCTCTCTCTCTCTCTCTCTCTCTCTCTCTCTCTCTCTCTCTCTCTCTCTCTGGTGCGCAAGCACGTGCAGGCGCCGTTTTTCCCTTTTTTTTTCCTTTTAAAAAGAACTCCGGATGGTCCACGGGTCAGACATCAAACTGATCGGAACAGATACTACACTTGCTCGTCGTCATCGTCGTTTTGTGGGGTCGGGTAGTTAGTTAGGGGTCTCTCTCTCTCTCTCTCTCTGGTGCGCGAGCGCATGCGCGCACCGTTTTTCGCTGTTTTTTTTTTCAATTGTTTAAAGAACTCCCGATGGACCACATGTCAGATATCAAACTGATCTCTCTCTCTCTCTCTCTCTCTCTCTCTCTCCCCCTGATGCACGCACACGTGCGCGCGTCGATTTTCCTTTTTTTTTTCTTTTTTTTTTTTCAACTCCTGATGGTCCACGGGTCAGATATCAAACTGATCGGAATAGATACTACACTTGCTCGTCGTCATCGTCGTCGTTTTGGGGGGTGAGGTAGTTAGTTAGGGGTCTCTCTCTCTCTCTCTCTCTCTCTCTCTCTCTCTCTCTCTCTCTCTCTCTCTCTCTCT